AAGAGGATGGGAAAATGGCAAGACTCCTTCCTGTCTAATTGTTCCAGTCACCTGGACAGGGACATCAACATCACTTGCCTTTCTGTCTCCACTCACCTTTGAGCTAGAGCTAGACCTGAGTAGTTTCTACAGGCTGTGTCACCTTTTGGAATGGCTCTGCTTTGTTTTTTCTTGCCTAGATCTTCATGTGACTAGGCATTGGTGGCAAAAGGGGAACATTAACACCTGTCTATTCTTCTCTGTGACCTATTTTGACTATCTGCTGTCCTCATCCTATTGTGGCAGAACTCAAAGATTTGGTGATGCTCTGATGAATCCTAACCAGGTCAGAAACTGAAGATAAGGAAAAGAACTCCATTACCAAAATTGTAGCAGCAAGAAAGTAATTTTAGCCCTTGGAGAAGGAAGTAAAGGCCAAGGTCAGACAATTAGCTGCTAGATTGTGAGCCAGGGGAAAGCAGTAAAGTGCTCAAGAGGGGAAAACCTACTGGAAAAAAAATGAATTGAGATGAGATGAGATGAAATTAGATAGATAGATAGATAGATAGATAGATAGATAGATAGATAGATAGATAGATAAGCAGACAGACAGACAGATAGAAGCATCCATAAAATGAGAAGAGAATATCATCAATCAAGAATTATTATTAATAAAATCTGTGAGGTTACATTAAAAAGAAAGTAAAGAAAGGATAATTGTACTTACTAACAACCAATTCCCCACATTTTCAGTTTTTCTAATTTCTTTTGGGCATCGCTCCATTTTCTTTGGTAGAATTCAGGATGATCAAAGCTATCACACTGCACTAAACAAATCCTCAATTCCTGCCACCCCCAACTTGGCAATTTCTGCACACACCATACAGCATTAATTCATCTAGGATGCCCCAGAAAGTCTCTGGCTGAGGAAATTGCAAATCACTCACACCCTTAGTTCAGCTGAGACTGGATTGATCTTTTTCTCAAAAATAAAAGAAAGCAATCTGAAAGCATAGACGCCAACATGTTGATAAAACAGATTACTTACTCCAGATTTTCCTGGGTATAGGTTGATCTCAGGAATCCACAGCTTATCAGTCATATTTTTCTCACAACACACATTAGTCCTGGACTTGGCTTGCATTTAAACATTCCCTCAGCATGAGCCAAGGTGAATTTTAGCAGCAGCCCTGCCAGGTGTAATGAAGTTTGGGGCACCTTCATGATACCTGGTTCCCAAGCTCTTTGGAGAAGAGAAACAGCCCTCTCTCAGAGCCAGTCATCTCCTTGGAGAGAGAGACTGACAGCCGCCTGGGCTACCTGGTCCCTGGGCCTTGTCCAGGTTAATGGAGGTTTGAGAAAGTATCCCACCTGCTGCAACTGTAAGTCCTAAGAAGTGCTGGGAGAGAGGAAACTGAGCAGAGCCACTTCAAAGGCTAGGTATGGATGAGGTTTCTGCTCAGCGACCTTTTACTTACCATTAAAAACCTGAAGTCTGGCTAGACAGTGGAAGAGGCATGTCTAAAATTAGTGCTGGGCCTCCCCGGTGGCGCAGCGGTTGAGCGCTGGGCTGCGAGGCTGCCCACAGACTCTGCAGCGCCAGTTCGATCCCCAGCCACCGGCGAGGGTCCCACATGGCGCATACACCTCTCCTGCCGCGCCCCGCTGCTCCCCTCAGCAGTGTACTTCGGTCCTTCAGCCTGTTCTGCTCCCCACTCTGGCTCTGTGAATTCTCCTACCCTCCCGCGCTTCTGACTGTACCCAGTGCTTATATAAATAAATAAATAAAAATCTTTAAAAATATAAAATAAAATAAAATTAGTGCTTCCCCACAAGATATCGGTTAGATAAATTACAGGATATCCATACAAGAAAATGCAATTTATAACGTTACAGTAGAAATGGACATGAAAAATGTCCACGATATACCATTAGGTGAAAAAATAGTATGTAGAATATGAATCCATATTGACTAACAAGTTATATGTAATAACTAATATTTATTGAGCTTTAAATATTAGCATAAACATGAGGAAGGCACTGAGCAAAATGTTTTATTCATGACAACCTTATGATGCAGGTAGGTATTATAATCCTATTTTCACAGATGAGATTGCGACACTAACAGGTTAAGAAATTTGCCATAATTCTTTTACATGGCAGCACTTACACACCTAGTGTTAAACACATGAACCTAACTCGATAGTGACACTATATCAATGTCTATGTCTGTACAGAAAAAAAAAGGCCAAGAAAGAGAGATACTAGGATGTTATCACTTAACTGTGGTTATTTCTGAGCAGTGAGATTATAAGTAACTTTTGTTTCCTTTATGCTTTCCCAAGTAATCTGAAACCAATAAGTTACAGAGATTACTATAATAATAAAAAAGAACAATAAATCAATTTCATTTGGAGGAAAACACAATCAAGCTACTCTTTCCAACCTGTAGGCAGAAAAACACTGGGGAATGGGGAGGGGAATAACTAAATTGTTACAAGGTTCTGGAAATTTCTTCATGGCCCAAGCATTGTCAACAACGAATAAATAATATGCTTGCACATATTTTCCCCAAATACTGTCATCATGTGTACTCAAAGTACTTTAGTTTATTATATAGTTCTCAATCAATAGATTTTAACACTACAACTACTATCACGTGTAAGTTCATGACACTAAAGCAAAGGATGGGATCTGCTACTAGAAGGAAATATATATGTCCAGTTCAACTCTCTGTAGGCTTCTTAAGAACAAATCTTTTTTTCAAAGGTGCAGGAGGAAATGGGAACAACTGAAAATGCACACATTATTAAAAGTTAACCCAGCAGAAGTCCTGCAAGGTTGTGAGAACATGGAGAGGGAGTTGATATAGGCTCAGAGAATTCTGTCAAGGAGAGACAGAATGCTAATATCCTTTGCATTACCAGGAGCTAAGCCCACCCTCAACCACAGGGATGTCCACACTACATCGGTGGGGATGCTGCAATACCCGAGTGCTCACATTTGCTCAAGGGCCATACTGGCATCCAATCAGCAGGAAGACCTGGAGTGGGGGGAGCCCTCCAGGTACCCGAGAGGGGAAGTGTGCTGGACTTTATCTTTCGTCAAACTAACTCAAAAGTCAACACTTGCCTTCCTTTCCCTCATTCTTCCTTCTCCCCTTTTATAATATGCCCCATTGTCCTCTATTGATGTACAACCTTTTGTCCCCCACTCCTGTCCCAAGAACACACACTCCTATAGTATTCCCGTGCATTTATTACCTATCAGAAACCATCCTGATCACAGACCTCAAACTGGAACACTCACTCATTGATTGTCCACTCAATATTGGGTGCCTATGGTTTTCAAGATATTAAGGGCAGATGCATTGGCAAATAAAATATGCTCCCTACCCCTCTAGAAGCTTACACCATACTACCCAGTGATCAAAAAAGACAAACTCATGCCATTTGCGACAACATGGATGGAGCAGGAAAGGATTATGCTCAGTGAAATAAGTTAGAAAGAGAAAGATATATACCCTCCCCTTCCCTTGACTTATATGTGGAATATAGAAAAACCAACAAAAGGTCAGACAGAGACAAACCTTAAAACCAACGCTTGAGAACTGACCATTGATCTTCAGCTTTTAGAGGGGAAGGGGAAGAAAGGGCCAGAAATGGGGCATGTGGGACTACACAATGGACTATGGTAGAGAACTATGGGTGCTGCTGCAGGGGTAGGATTATCCTATACTGTCAAAATACTAGCAAGGGCGTAAAATAATGAAGGCCTCCCTGGTGATTCAGGGGTTAAAGACAGTGCTATCAAGCTACTGCCAGCCACTGCAACATGAGTTCAATCCTGGCCAGCCAGGGAGCAACCCATATGGTATGCAGCAGACCCCTCCTGTCTTGCCCACTGCTCCTCTCAGCAGTGTATTTCAGTAGATCTGCCTGTTCTGCTCCCCACTCTGTCTCTGGTGAATCCTCTCACCATCCCCACCCCACCCTGCACCTCTGGCTTACACCCAGTTCTTGTATGCATAAATAAATAAATCTTTTTAAAACGGGATGTAAAAATAATGATACTTCAATAATAATTTAAAAATAATTATATATAAAAATGAAATTAGACTATAAACCTTAAATAAAACATTAGAGAGATTTAAGAGATATAATATTCAAGTATAATCAGTGGCTCTTTGGATACTGATTCAAATGAACCAACTCTAAAATGACATTTAAAGTGGACTAGATAGTACATATTATTAAAGAATTATTAAATGTGTTCAGGATAATAGTGACATTCTTATTATAAAAGAAAATATCCATACTTTGTAGATGTATATTGAAGTAATTAGGGATAAAATGACATAGCTTAGAATTGTTTTAAAATCCTCCAAGAGAAAAATGAGTGGCATGACAGATGAAACAAGCATAGCAAAATGTTAAAAACAAGCATGGCAAAATGTTGAAGATAAACACAAAGATGAAAATTTGTCATATTGCCTAGTTTGGTGTGCATTTGGAAATTCCTGTAATAGAAAGTTAAAAAGAAGGGGACAGCCCCATGCCAGGCTGCCTCAGGACAACCATCAGTCTCAATAGACTTAAGCCCTGGTATCTGTGACCCCAAGCCCACAGAACTCCCTTCCCAGCAGCCATCTATCTCACTGGGGTCACAACCCCTGAGTGGCCTGTGTATAGTATGTCTCCTCTCTAGACCTCTGGGTCACTAGGACTGGATGGCAGTCCTTGTCACCTTTCTCCACACTGATGTCCTAATAATTCCAGGAAAGAAGGTCAGAGATCAAATGGGCAGGGCCCAGGGCTCAGACCTGATGGGGCAGTCCTTGGTGGTTGAAAGCCTACCCTCTGCAGTGGGTGGTAGGTGTGGGACAGAACAAGGAGTGGAGAGGGCAGGTGAAAAATCCTCATAGTTATGTGTTCAGTATCGAGCTCTCCTCCAGAGGCTGGTGGCATCTTTGGCTAAAACACTGCTCTGAGATCTTCATTTTCCTCAGATTCTTGGGCATCATGCATTGTTCCAAGCAGCCTAAATACTTCCAGAGTCTGGTGCTTCTGCATTGGCCCTTGAGCTACCTTGCCATATGTGAGTACCAATCTAAGAGTGCATGGCAAGATGCCAGAGTCAGAGACCAGAGTCAGATCTGGGGTGATTTTTATGTTCATGGGAGGTATCACCTCTGACCTTAATCATCTAAGATGGTACTATAGAGTAAGTCAAGGAGTCTTGAGTTCTCTGAGTGTGCTGGAGAAGGAAAAGGGATAGTTCCAAGAGAAAGAGAAGATGGGCAGGGGAGTGGAATGGGGTTGTGATGGATGTGAAGTAAATCCAGTTAATTTCAGACACTTCCTAACCTTCACTATCTGAGGAGGGAGAACGAGGCTCAGAATAAGCATGATATGTTCATGACTACAAAGAAGCATGGGAATTGGGACAAGGGATGCATTAGCGTTATAGACTTAGAGAAGTATTGCCTGTGTTCAAACCATACAGTTTTCTATTCTGGAACAGGAGTGGTGCTAGTATGGGTTGGGGGGAGACAGACATAATGCAAAGAATGGTAAATGGGCAAAAGGACAGGAATGGTGGATGGGAAACAGTGGAGGGACGCAGATGCCCTGTGGGTAGGGGATGGAGAGATATGGATAGTATATGGGCAAGGAAGAGTGGACTAGTGGTTTAACAAATGTTCAGGGCTGATAGATAGGAAGGGAGACAGGAGACAAGAAAGAAAAAATGGTGGACAAATTGCAAAAACTGGTAACAGGCAGGTAGTAGGAGTAGAGGGATGGTGAGTTCACAAGGGGGCAAGTGGATAAGGATGGCTTGTGGTAAGCAGATAAATAAGGGTGGTATATGGTAGATGACAAAGGAAATGTTTGAGGGACACATAGACAAAAATAATGGATGGGCAGTAGCTGGATTGTGCAGGCCAGGACCAGAAGCTTGAGTTGTTTGGAGGATTCTTAGTGGGTATGGACATGGTCCCTTGTGCTGACACTACAAATTAGGTCCAATTTGACTTACTCCTTTATCAGTTTGCATCTTGGTGCCATTGTTCCTTTACCTGCTGTTTACATCATTTTGGCTGCTACCAGTTCTTTACTTTGTCTGGTTGTTCCTGGACTGGAAGACCCCAGATCAAGGTAAGACTTATGGACCTAGAAAGAACAGGGCTTTAACATGTTCCATCTTAACCTGTAACTTGGGAGTCCCACTCACCATGCCACAGGCCCTTCATCTACATTCCCAGAACCACAGGAGCTGAGTCAGTCAGGACTACCCTGGGCTTTCCTCCTGTTCCACCAGCAGAGGCATGTCCCCCCACCCCCCACCCCCGCCACACCAAGCTGCAAGGGAAAACCAGGGTGAGCAGGAGGGGTAGGGTTGGGAAACAGACACAGTCCCCCATTGGTATTTCTGTCTCAGGTGGCAGACGTTCAGCCTGGGTACGGAATTGGTGTGTCTGGACCCACATCAGGGACTATTTTCCCATCACAGTAAGTGTCACTTCCCCAGGGTTTTTTTGTTTTTTTTTTTTTTTAAATAAATTTTATTTTTATATTCCCCAAACAATTGCAACCCCCTTATTTTGACCCCAATTCCTCCCCTCCCCGCGCCCCACCCTCCATAGAGTGTCTCTGGTTCATAGTTTTTTGTTGATTTTGATTTTCACTTTCTTATAGTTATTCATTTTCCTGGTCTCTTATTTAAGTTTTCTAGATTCCTGCTATGAGTGAGACCATCCGGTATTTTTCTTTTTCTTTCTGGCTTATTTCGCTGAGCATGATCCCTTCCAGCACCATCCATGTTGCTGCAAATTGCATGTGTTTATCTTTTTTTGAATGCTGAGTAACATTCCATGGTGTATATGTACCCCCAGGGTTTTTTAAATTTCCCCAACTGTTAGGTATTTGTGCCAAATGTCTAGGATTGTCCCTGAGGAAAACTAACATCCTAGAGACCTCTCAGTGCAAGCTAGACATACTTCAGGATCCAACTTTTCCACTGGACCTCACTACTCTAACGGGACACTTTAGATGCCCTAGCATGATTCACCACTTGACATGGGCAGAAAAACAAATACAGTTCTGCTTAGTTTAACAAATATGGGTTGAACGCATACTCTGCACTATGTTTGGGGTATAGAGAAGTGACCAGGATGTGACCCTTTGCCATCAAGGAGTTCACATCTACTGGAGAGCATGGATGAGTACACAAGGCACACAGGTAGTTCAGATGGGAGGTTAGGAAAGTCTTTGCCGATGTGTTGATATCTAAGCAGCGTTTTCAAAGTTGAATAAAAATGACTTAGGCAGACACTTGTAAGGAAGTTCAGGGGAGAAAATACCAGGAAGAGGTAGAAATGGACTGCGACATGATCCTCTGGGCACTCTTCAGAGAAGACAACTCTGCCTTGATTTTTACAGTGAGATATCCAAACTTTTTTTGTATAAAGCATCCATAGAAAGTGATAACGTACATAAGTGTGCTGACACGAATGGGCGAGACTACTCCCAGCCATAGACAAAGGGCCCAGCACTTCTAACTACCTGGTTTCTCAGGACCTAAGGAAACCTATTGACAGCCCCCAGGAGCCCCTCAGGACTTGGCTATTACCAAGCTCTGGTTTAGAGAGTTCCCTGATCCCTGAAGGGTCTTCACCCTTGCTCCCCCATGTGATCTCACTCCAACACCTCTGGCATTTCTCTCCATGACTGCAGATAGTGAAGACTAAAGACCTGCCACCTGAGCACAACTACCTCATGGGGATTCACCCCCATGGCCTTTTGACCTATGGCGCCTTCTGCAACTTCTGCACTGAGGCCACAGGCTTCTCGAAGATCTTCCCAGGCATCACTCCATACTTGGCCACGCTGTCCTGGTTCTTCAAGGTCCCCCTTATTAGAGACTACCTGATGGCCAAAGGTGCTCGTGACCACACTTGCTGGAGTTCTTGGCTCATTTCTCTCTCTGGAGATGCACCTTTTTAAGTCCCATCCCCGACCTCTCATCCCCACCCCCCAGAATATCCCCCATTGCCATAATATAGTACGTAGAAGCATATGTTCTGGAGTTAAACTGCCTGGACTTGAATCCTGGCTCTGCCTCTTACCATGAGGTCTTGGGCAAACCACTGAGACTGTTGGTTTCAGTTTCCCCATCTGTAAGGCGATGCTGAGGATAACAGTCCGACCTCAGATGTGGTATGACTAAATGAGAAAACACAAGTCAAGTGGTAGCTATAGTGCTTGTGACAGAGTATATGCTTGATAAATAACAGTTCTTGCTAGTAATAGCAATTACTTGCTGGTAATAGTAACAGTTACAGCTGAGATTCCAAAAGTCCCTCTGGAAAGCTTCCTACTATAGTTTCAACCCAGTGCCTCCTGCAAAGTGGAGATATTACCTCAGAGTGAAATTGTTGTTTGCCTACAACCTTCCCCTTGTCTCATTTCATTGATTTTTCTCCTGAGACCCATGGAAACAGAGGGCACGTGAGCAAGCTAAGGAGGCATAGAGTAGAGGGGTTCCCTCTCAGCCATTTTCCCCACTTCTCATCACTTTGTGCCTCTCTCTGATTCATTCTCTTTAGGCGTGTGCCCTGTGAGTCAGTCAGCTATTGACTATATGCTGAGCCACGGTACTGGTAACCTCGTGGGCATTGTAGTGGGAGGGGTAGGAGAGGCCCTGAAAAGTGTGCCCAACACCACTACCCTCATCCTCCAGAAGCGCAGGGGGTTTGTACGCACAGCCCTCCAGCATGGGTAAGTGTGCTTCCCAGGGAAAAGGTGGTGGGCCTTATCTGAACAACATGACCTAATAGCATGTGTCAACATGTGTCAAACTTGAGTCTTGCCTTCAAGGAACTTACTAGTGAGTGGGGGAGCTAGCCATAGAATTTCAAAAAGGTTAAGGGCATCCACTCTAGACTTAACTGAACCACTTCTCAAGAAGCCAAACCAGAAACACAGATTCAACATCAATTGGCTAGGGCTCCTCTAGAACAGAGATGCACCCACATCACACCTGCACCTATTTCATTGGGTTATTGCGGGCTGCAAGAGCTAAGCACATAACAGAAAACACCCACCATGTGTGTGGCAGAGAGGAAGCAACTGACAAACATTAGCCACTCTGAATTAGAGATAAACAGAGGAAGTAAAGAACAGGGGCCCAAAATTAGAGCTGAGAAGTGCCCCATTCTGTGAGCAGGCCTGCTCACTGGACACAGGGACAATTGCCCCTGTGGTTTTGTAGTGGGAGGGGTAGGAGAGGCCCTGAAAAGTGTGCCCAACACCACTACCCTCATCCTTCAGAAGCGCGGGGGGTTTGTATGCACAGCAGAGAAGGAGGTGTTTCTTCTATGGACCTAGCTGAGTGGCCTGCTCATCAGTTTCAAGTATAATGTGGAGGAGAGAGTTCTGAGCAGGGAGAAAGGAGTCCTGGGTTCCACTTCAGGTGCTGCTACTCACTGACTACTTGAGTGATCTTTCCCTACTGAACCTGATTTCTGGATCTGTAAGATAAAAGAAACCCCCTCCCCATATCCTCCAATATCTCTGCTATGAGGAACCAGTAAGGTAACATAAGCCAGAGTGCTGAGAGATTTGTATAAGAGAGACTGTGTATAAGAGAGACTGTATTTGTATAAGAGAGACTATGTTCTCTTTTCTCTGGAAGGAAACTTACAGAGCTTGACACCATACCTAAGGCACTGTCAGGGTGGAGTCCCCTGGCCTCTCTTTTCTGATCTAATCCCAAGACAGAATACCTTACACATAACCCCTGTGGGTGAGGGACAAATCATATAATTGTCAGTGCAAAATTATCATTTTCTCTGTACTTCCTTCCTAGAAGAAACAGAGTCAGGTTGTCGCCTCTCCGACACCTGGAAGCTTTCCTTTGCAGGATGTAGGTCTCTGGGGATCTCTACCCAAGCTCCTCTTCCCTCCACCCCCATGCCTTGCCCTTGTCCTCCTGGCCCAGGGATAGCGCTCTCACTAGCCTTGAAAATTTCAGGACAAAAGACACTAAATATGGGAGCTGTTTAGTGCAAGAACAAATGTTCTTCCTGAGTGATTTCTACCGTAACCCGTGTTTCAGAAATAAATTGGGGTTTTCCTACAGGGTTCATCTGGTTCCTACCTTTATTTTTGGAGAAACTGAGGTGTACGAGCAGGTGCAGTTCCATCCAGACAGCTGGATGTACAAGGTCCAGAGCTGCTTCCGCTGTATCTTTGGCTTCTACTGGTGTATCTTCTATGGACAAGGTTTCCACCAAGGCTCCATTGGGCTCCTGCCATACCGGCTGCCTATCATCACTGTGGGTGAGTGGTGCTCTCAGCCCCCAGGTCACCTCAGCTCTTTCTCAGCCTCAATATCGGTCCTCCCCACCCTGCCCCCACCAAAGAATGGCAGCAGAAATGGGGTTGGGGACTAGCAATGCAATAGGATAAGATCAGGCTCAGAGGAGGTTCAAGGAAGAGAAGATTAACGTTTGCCCTGCTATTTACCCATCTCTCCTGACAGTCGGGGAACCTCTGCCACTGCCGCAAATCGAAAATCCAAGCCAGGAGATGGTGAATAAATACCACACACTCTATTTGGATGCCCTGCAGAAACTGTTTGACCAGCATAAGACCCAGTATGGCTTCTCAGAGACTGCGAAGCTGCTTTTCCTGTAACTGGAGGGGCTGCGTGCCCAAGTGCGTGTGCCTTGGAGGGGAGAATCGTTTGCTGCTAACCAAAATGGGGAGATGAGGGAAACATTAGGCAGTTCTCCCTTGCCACAGACCCTTGCCCTTGTTGTCCCTGAGGAGTTTTACTCAGTCATTCCTCAGACAAGCATCTCTGCCTGCCCTGGCCCCCACAGGCTTTCCTCTCTGAACCCCAACCCCTAGGTCCGATAGGAATCCAGCGATAACTGGATTCCACTCTTGTTGTCACTGTTGATTTGTCTTAATGCATTTTTTAAAATGAGATGAATTCCTCACCCACAAATTTAACCTATTTAAAGTATAAAATTTAGTAGTATTCATTATATTCCCAGAGTTGAGCAACCATGATCACTCTCCAATTTTAAAACACTTTTCAGCACCCCCCAAAAGAAATCCAGTACACATTAGCAGTCACTCCCCATTCCCCCATTTCCCACCCCCTGTCAACTGCTAGTCTACTTTCTGTCTCTATGGATATGCCAATTTTGGATAGTTCATATAAATGGAATTGTAAAATATGTGGTCTTTTGTGATTGTTTTCTTTCTTTTAGCATAATGTTTTCAAGATCCATCCACATGGTAGCACATATCAGTACATCACTCATTTTGTGGCTGAATAACATTTCATTGCACGTGTATACCACATTTTTTATCCATTCAGCAGCTGATGGACTTGTGGGTTGTTTCCACTCTGACTATTATGAATAATGCTGCTATAAACTTCTTCTACAAGTTTCTGTGTGGTAATCTCCTGTCTCCTAAAGGTTTCATTGTGTCCTCACCTCTCCATTAAAAAACACACCTTTCAGATAAATTGAAGGCATCTTACGGTTGTTTTTCAGTTGGCAGAGGCAATTGACATAGGCCACTTGTCCTCATGATGGTTTCCTAACACCATAATTCCAAAGTATTTGCAGCCATCCTGAGAGTCTACTATGGAAGATCTACTTTATATCTATATTTTAAATATTTACTAAGTCCTACTTAAAAGTTTTTCTTAAAGCTGTCGTCTGAAAATTTAAGAAGGGTAAATAAAAACACCTATGTTTCTTCCTTCACAAGGCAACCGACGAAAGACACACTTAAGAACCCAGCAAAGCAGTTCCAGAGCCCTCAGGAGGAACCCTGCTGCACTATGGCAATCATATATAAGAAACACTCCCTCAATCTTTCCCCCAAGAGTCATATCTATATGCTGGGGACATGGATTATACACATCTTTCAAGAACAATTAGACATAGGGACTTAGCTGACATACCCTAAGGCTATAAAACACAGTCACAGCCTTCTAGTTAGAAAGGGGCCATATCAGAGCCAGGCAAAACAAACCACAGCAAAAGATAGAATGTTAACAGACCACTTAGAAACTCCAAAAATTCAATAGCAAAAAAACACAAAGAACAGTTAATCTGATTTGACAATAAGCAGAGGACTTGAATAGACATTTTTCCAAAGACAACCAAATGACCAACATGTACATGAAAAGATGCTCGATATCACTAATCATTAAAGAAATGCAAATCAAAACCACAATGAGATATCAACTTACACCAGTTAGAATGGCTGTTATCAAAAAGAAAAGTGATAACAAGTGTTGGTGAGGATATGAAGAAATAAGAACCCTTGTGCACTGTTGTGGGAATGTAAATTGTTGGTCACTATGGAAAACAGTGTGAAGTTTCCTCAAGAAATTAAACACAGAACTGCCATATGACCCTGCATCCCATTTCTGGGTAATATCCAAAAGAAATGAAATCACTATCTTGAAAAAAATCTGCATCTTCATATTCATTGCAGCATTATTTATAATAGACAAGACATGGAAACAACCTAAGTGTCCATCAACAGATGAACAGGTAAAGATGTGAGACAACACACACACACAGAGTAATATTTTTTCCAACCCCTTTCCATTTCACACAATAGAACATTATTCAGTTATAAAAAAGAAGGAAATTTCGCCATTTACAACAACATGGATGAACCATGAGGGGACTATACTAAGTGAATTAAGTCAGATAGAAAACATGAACTATACGATCTCACTTATACATGAAACCTAAGAAAAAAAAAAGCCAAACTCACAGAAACAGAATGAATGGTGGTCACCAGGGGCTAGGTAGTGGGAGAAATGAGGTGATATTGTCCCCAACTGAGTAGGAATTAGAAATATTCTCCTTAGAACAAGCTCAGAAAAGAAATTTAAAGACAATAATAGAATGTGTTAGGAAAATGAACAAAATATAAAGAGAGCATATAAAGAGATGGGAATATAAAATCACCCTGGAGCATTTAAAGTGTCAGAATGAAAGGGAGTACTTAAAAAAAAAAGCCAAGATGGGAGCATGTCAAAAAGACACAGCAATCTCGGAAAAGCTCTCAATAGGCAAAGTTGGAACAATTTGAATAAGAAAGATAACATAGTGGTTGGACCAGTTTGCACTCCCGCCAACAGTGCAGGAGAGTTCCTTTTTTTCCACAACCTCGCCAACATTTGTTGTTGCTAGTTTTTTTAATATGTGCCATTCTCACTGGTGTAAGATGGTATCTCATGGTAGTTTTGATTTGCATTTCCCTGATTACAAGTGATGTTGAACATTTTTTCATATGCCTTTTGGCCATTTGTATTTCCTCTTCAGAGAAGTTTCTTTTTAGCTCTTCTGCCCATTTTTTGACTGGATTATTTTCTTTGTTTTTGTTGAGTCTCATCAGCTCTTTATAGATTTTTGTAATCAGGCACCCCTATGTTTATAGCAGCACTGTTTGCAATAGCTAAGCTTTGGAAACAACTCAAATGCCCAAAAATAGATGACTGGATCAAGAAGATGTGGTACATACACACCATGGAATATTACTCAGCATTCAAAAAAGATAAACACATGCAATTTGCAGCAACATGGATGGAGCTGGAAGGGATCATGCTCAGCAAAATAAGCCAGAAAAAAAAGAAAAATACCGGATGGTCTCACTCATAGCAGGAATCTAGAAAACTAAAATAAGGGACCAGGAAAAAGAATAACTATAAGAAAGTAAAAATCAAAATCAACAACCAACTATGAACCAGAAACACTCTATGGGGTGTGGGGGGCCGGGAGGGGATGGATTGGGGTCAAAATAAGGGGGTCACAATTGTATGGGAAATATAAAAGTAAAATTTATAATAAAAAATAAAATAAAAAGATAACATAATATTGATTATTATCCAAAGTATAAAATAAATATACTTGAGTGCAACTGATGTAAATTAATGATTGAATAAACAAGTAAATGGTGAGAAAGGGATAATTCTTCCTTACAGAAAATTTACAAATAATTTATGTAGACACTCTTCTACTCCAGATGTAACATAATCCCCTCTCCACCTCCCAAACACCATAGTTTGGGCTAGACTTAACAACTCAATTCTAAAGACTAGAATAAGGAAAGAGAAAATTAGTAAACTTCAGTGGAGAAATCAGGAAGACACAACCTTAACCAAAGAATTAGGATTAATTAACCTCATAAGCAATAAGTCATGTTGATATCAATATCACGTGATGACAAGGGCACTTCATCTCTCTCTGGTATTCTTCTTCAAACACATAGACCCAGTCTAATTATGAGAAAAATCAGAAGAACATTTTACTAGATACCTAACCAAGTCTCCTCAAATGACAGTGAGGACATGAAAACAAGGAAAGACTAAGAATCTGTCACAGACTAAAGGAGAACTAAGAAGACATGATGATTAAATGCAATGTGGTATACTGGGTGGGATCCTGGACCACAAAGAGGATGTTAGAGGAAAAACCGGTAAAATCAAAATAAAATGTGAATTTTAGTTAATAGTAATGTACCAATGTCAATTTCCTAGATTTTACAAGTGTGTATGGTTATATAAAATATTAACATTAGGGAAAATTGTGTGAGTGGTATAACTTGGTATCGTCTTTGCAGTTTTTCTATAAATGTAAAACTATCCCAATAAACAGCTTATTTTTTAAAATTTATGGGCTGCTGCCACACCAATACTATGGGAACAATTCATCACTTTTAAATGTTTTTATTAGAAATGGCAAGATGGCCACAGAGTGACGACACCAGGCTTGACTCCTCCGTATATACTAGATTACAGCAGAATAAAACCAATTAACACCTGAAGGAAAAATGGATTACTCCAATAAACACTAGGGACAGTGTCTGATGGTAAAGGACTCCAGCAAACAGTAGAACAGACCAGACAACCAACACAGATGCAATAGGGCCCAGCAGACACTGGCAAGCAGCAGATCAGAACTCAACATCAGCACAGATTTAGTAGACCCCAGCAAGCCCTAGAAGGCTCTAGTAAGCAGCAGATGCCAGGAAGAAGCTTGGATCTGCAGACACAAAAGATTATAGCAAGCAGTGGAGCAGGCCCTGGCAAGTGCCATGTATGCAAATGGGCCCCAGCAGCAGCAGCAGCAGCAGCAGCATCACTTAGCCTTCTACTAGCTGCTCTTCTTGGAACAGTGAACCAGAACGACACAGCATGGAAAGATAGCGCTGAGGAGAGGATAGGAGTGGGACTTGAGCATACCATGAACACCATAACCAGTGCAGACTTCAACAGGGGTGATGCTAAGGAGATTTATGAATATCAGAAAAGAGGTGGTAGAGAGAGGAGTCTGGGAGCTGTGATCTGGTGGAGGGGACACAGGTGGCAGGGCTATCAGATAAGCCAAAGACCAGAGGAAGAGGATTATAGAAATTCTGTGGAGGCATATGTCCTTAAAGGAGAGAAAAGACATGCAGAGGGACTTGGGTACTTCCACAAGCTGAGTCCCCAATAAAGATAAAAGCAGAGCAGCACTCTGGTCAGCACTATCCCTTCACCACTCTTAGGACTGGTGCTTACCTTGTGAGTCACATTGAGAGCACAGTGACTGCTGAGACTGTCATCCTAAACACCAGAGTGGAGTAACGTCAACAGTGCCACAAACATGAGT